AATATAAGAATAAAATAAATAAAATAAAAATGTTAACTAAGTTAAAAATGCTAATGATGTTAATAACGTTGATTATTTATCAATCTTTGTGATACAGTAGGATTGACTTCATATGGTATCAACATGTAAATTATAAAGCTTAAGTTAAAACTATATTAGATTACTACGTAAACTTTAAAAGAATTACTACTTAAATATTCTGTATAACAGTCATAATTTGACAGGATTATATGTTAACAGTACCTTATATAAAATATAATATTTTATGAAAGAAATGTTTAATTATTTCAAAAAGTACATTGACATAGGATTTTCTTATATTGTTGAAATAATAGATAGTTTCTTTCTAGTATTTTTTCTTTAAAATTAATTAATAAATATAACATTTTATCAGAAGAAAGTCTTTATAATTTATTAAAGTACTTCTCTCAGAATTTTTTTAGTTTTCTTCGGTTTTTAAAGCTGATCAGTCACAAGACATCTTTTTATTATTCTTATAGTTTTTCTGCAATCACTACTTCAAAAAAATGACAAGATTTTGATTTTTTCATATTTTCTAATCTATATAAGATTCCTGATCACTTTAAATAACTTATTGTTTTAGTTAATTAATTAACCAATAATTTTCTTTTACAGAACCATTTTTAGTATAAAATTTCTTTTTAATATAGCATTAATTTTTTTTTATTTTTTTCTTTGTTATTTTATTTCTCAAATATGATATTCTTAATTTAGGTTAGAATTAATTTCAAAAAGTATAAAATAGAATCTTTTATTAATTAATCATAGATTAGTTAGTATAAGATTTTATAATTCTCTGATTTGTATTTTATCTAATACTTAATAAAGTTTTATGAAACTATCACACTTTTTAAAAAATATAAATATTTATATAATTTTATAAAATTCTTTTTTAAAATTAATATATTTTATATCAAAAATATTAATCTTAAAAATAATTTTTTTTATTAATAGTTTATTTGTAATATAGATATCATATAATATAAAAATAAAATTATATACTTATAAATATAATAATAATATTAAATATAATTAAATAATTATTAAATAAATTTAAAATATATAATACGCAAAAAAATAATGAGAATAAAAATTTTTATGCTGAAAAACTTAAATAATTTCTATAATAAACATTTATTTGTCAAATAATTTTACCTGATTATACAATAAACATACTTATAAATATTGATCATTTTTATTTATGTATTTATTTATAATTAGTTATAATTTATCACTAATAATATAGTATATAGTTCTTTTGCATAATGTCATACAATAATAGTTATATTATAAAAAAATGGTACTCATAATGTTAAAGCTTATACTCTTTAACTTCTATTTCACTTTATACAATCTAAAAATATATAATCAAACTTAAAAAAATATTCTATTAAAGTTTTTAACTCGTCTAGAAAGACCAAAATGACTTTCTCTTAAAAAATGTTATTACCTTAGAAAACTTGTTTAATAAACAAATTTTCTACCTATTTTGAATTAGCAAACATTTTAAATAAAAAACATCCTAACCTTAATATAAGCAAAAGAACTATGCTCAATGAACTTCACAGACTTAATTATATTAGTATAATCTTAAAAATAATTTTCTTACTTATAGATCTTCATAAGCAACGCTATGTTGAATTTGCTATAAAATATCAAAGACAAAAACTGTAATAAAATCATCTTTTTAGATAAAATCATGCTTCAAATATTCTAAAATACCTAAAAAGTATTTATAAAACTAGTACACAGTTATTGAAAAAATCTATGATCAAGCATTCTTATAAAGTCTATGTGTAGAATACTTTTTTCAAAAAAAGGTCAAATTGGATTTTCTCTTTTTATTGGAATAATGGATAGTGCATTATACCAAAAATTCTTAATAAAAATCTTTTGATAATACAAATTCTATAAATCATTATTGGATATTCCAACAGGATAACAATCTAAAACATACAGCTAAGAATACAAAAAACTTCTTTCAGATTGTTGTTTTAGATAGTTGAACTAGCTATCAAATAGTCCTAACATCAACCTTATAGAGAATTTATGATACATATTGAAGAGGCGTGTAGAGAGAAGGGTTAATGAGCTAGTGGTAAAAAAAATCAATTACTGTAAATATCTTTCAAAATATTATTCGTAAAGAGTGGAAAGAAATTGAACTAAAAATCTTTATTAATCTAATCGAAAGTATGTCATCAAAATTAAAGCAAATAATTAAGGGTAATAGTAATATGATAAATTATTAATTAAGCTTAATCAAACTTTTTTTATAATATAATAAAGCATTTATATTTAAATTTTTGTAAATTTTCAATAAATATTTATTACATAATGAACAAAAATATCATCCTTATTATTTTTTTCATACATTGTAAATAAATTAATTAATTAAAACTTTAAAATATAAAATACATTTTAAATATAATATTATAAGATAAATATTAAAAAATTTTTTTTTTTAATATTATTACAAATTATAATTTATTTTAAACAAAATAAAAGAATATTATAATTCTATACAATATGAAGATTTTTTGATTATATGTATTTTTTTTAATTGCTCATATAATGATTAACTAATAAAATTTTATACATTTCTTTTTGATCTTAAAATTTACAATAATTTCTATTTAATATAATCCAAAGTATTTTATAATGATAATATTATTATTAACATAATAAGTATAGTAAATTGTAATAATTATAAAAAATAGAAAATAATAATTACATATACTTTTGATTTTTAATATGAATTATATATAATAATAATTATATATAACTATAAAATTATATATTATTAAACTTATATAAATTTAATTAAAATATGATTCAATATTTTTAATAATTCTTAATAATAAATAATATTAAAAATCAAAAAAAATTACCATTTTTAAATATTAAATTAATTAATATTTCATCTAAACAGATTTTTTTTTAAATAGATAATCAATAAATAATAATTATTATTATATAATATAATTATATAATAAATATAAATACCAACCCTGTTAAATAAAATAATTAAATGTTGAGTAAAATTCTTACCTTTATATAATAACTTGAGTAGTGTAACATTGATTAATAATATGAAATGCAATAAATCTTAATTTATTATAATTCTCATGATTTTGTAATTATACCTTTCTTAATTTAGTAAGTAACAACCCTCTATTTTCGTTACACATATATCAAACTTCCCATTTCAAGTTAATACGAAAGAAAAAAAAAGTTTAAAAAATCTCTGTTCGAATAGTATTTACACTATTTTGTCAACAAGTTAAAAAAACGTCATGTCACAAGTTATAACTACTAGTTACACAAACCTGATTTGGAAATGGGGGGTTTTTTTTAATTCAAAATGCTTTGTTTTTTTTAAAAAAATTTTACCACACGCTTTTTTCGCTCGTTAAAGGTAAAAAAAAAGAAACCATTAATAATTCAGTATATGTTTTCGTCATAAGATATATATTTTTTCTTACCTTTTATCGCTGTTAATCCACAGATTTTAGGGATTTCGGAATAAGTTAACTAGGATTTTTTTTTTTATTTGAACTAAACGTTTTATAACAAAGCACAAAATAAAATGCCAAAGACACCAACACCACGCTCAGGCTCAAAAGGTGGCAAAGGACTGGGCAAAAGTGCCAAAGTTAGCTCGATGCGACATAGAGTAAGTAAATTGTCATACTTGTGTATATAAATTTATTACCGTAGAATAAGAAATTTCATTTGACTATAATAATAGAATTAACTCTTATGTAAACTGTAATTTTAATGTTTCTGATTTTTAGAAATTGTTGCGAGAAAATATCAAGGCAATCACAAGACCTGCCATTCGAAGAATGGCACGCCGAGGTGGCGTGAAGCGAATATCAGGTGAAATATATGAAATCGCAAGGACCTGTATAAAGGACTTTGTCACGGATGTTCTTAGAGATTGTGTATCCTATGTCGAATACGAAAGAAAAAAAACTGTAGGCGTAATGGAGATGTTATTAGCGCTTAAAAGACAAGGACGGACCCTATATGGGTTCGACCATGAAATCCGAGGAAGACATACGCACGCGCATTTTCATTATTAACGAGGATCTGATATGGAATTTCCCTTCCTCAAACTTTTAAAGACTTTTTTAAAATTATTTTCTATAAAAAAAATTTTGACGTGGCAGTTTTTTTTTAAATCTCTATAATTGTTTGAAGAGGGAACTTTGTGAACAAGATTTCGCATTTATATATAAATATTTCTTTCCCACATTAAAAACTTGCTAAATATCCTTTAGAATTTATTCTTCCCCTTCCCTTGCAAATAATTTCTTTTTTTTTTTAAAAAAAACAAAAACAAATTGTATATTCATTATAACAAAACCTCGAAAAGTTGAGAAAGTTGAGTTATAATAAAAATAACTTCGAGAGTTATTTAAAACTATTGATGTAAATAATCTGATTTGATCAAACATTTTAATCGTCTCGATGAAAATCAATATTTTTTTATTTGTAATCGAATTCGTTGTTTTTTAAAAATAAATCCGACATTTCCAAATTTAGTCATTGAATGAATATTCATTAATATTTAAAATCAATGAAAAGTTACACCGATAAATATACAACGCGCAAACAATCATTTTTGAAACATTGTAAGTATAGTTCTTTGCTTTATGCGTTTTATCATTAATTTCTTTTTAAAAGGTAAAAAGCTTGATTTATCAAATGGTTTAACTGTAACGAACTATATTAAAAGGGCTATCATGTCAAATTCGAGCGTTAAGAGCTTAGACAATTTAACAAAGTCTTTTGTTTTTACTAAACGTCTGCCTGCCGACGAAGCAATTCCTTCACCTGATGTAATTACAACTAAATTACAAAGAATTTCACGTCCTGTAAAAAAAGCCGCCTTCACTTTTGTTGCTCCTGAGCCAGTAAAAGAGCCTAAATTACTTGCTATAGCAGAAAAAACTGCCAGAGAAGTATTGAATTTGGAAGAAATAAATAACTGGTCTGAAGAACAAAAAACGGAATTTTTAGAAGTTGTAAGTGGAAATCGAGTTGTTAAGGGAACTTCTCCTTGGGCTCATTGTTACGGTGGGCATCAATTTGGATTTTTTGCAGGACAGTAAGTTTTTATTCTATATTTTCAAAACATAATGAATCCTTGAATTCAATCTAACACTATTTATCTCAGGCTGGGAGATGGACGCGTTATTTCTCTATGTAAGGTTATGATCAATTATTATTTTGAATTGTTATTAATCCAAGCATTATCGGTCGTAATTTAATTGATATGTATCTTTATGTTTGAAAATCAGTTGAAGCGATTAATGCCAAAAACGAAAGATGGGAGTTGCAATTAAAAGGTAAATTCAATTTGACAAAACTTTTTTTGTATTCTGCAATTATCACAATACTAATCGTTTCATAAAGGGGTCGGAAAAACTCCATTTTCAAGAGCTGCTGATGGCTTTGCCGTTTTGAGGTCATCAATTAGAGAATTTCTCGGCTCAGAAGGTTAGAACTATACATATTATTATAATTTGGTAACTTTTTTTTTATTTTTTTTTTTATTGATTTAATTCAATTTTTATAGCAATGGCCGCATTGGGTGTCCCAACCACAAGAGTTCTTTCAATTGTTCATACTCCTAAACGTATGGTGCAACGTGAAGTACTTGAAACCGGGTCTATCGTAAGCAGATTATCGCCATCATGGATTAGATTTGGAAGTTTTGAAATCTTTTTTTATCGAATGGAAAGAAAACAATTAAGATCTTTAGCAGATTTTGTCGTTGAAGAAGTTTATGGACTTAATCCTTTAGAAAATCCGGAATATGAGAAATATGGAAATCGTTATGGTAGATTATTTAATAAAATTTCAAGACAAACTGCAAGGATGGTTGCTCATTGGCAGGCAGTTGGATTTTGTCACGGAGTTATGAATACAGATAATATGTCAATTCTGGGTAAATGGCTTTCTTTTTATTTTATATTTTTTTGTTTAAATATCATAATAATAATCTTAAAATTAAGTATCATTATTATCCTAGGGTTAACAATTGATTACGGACCTTTTGCATTTTTGGATAATTATGATCCAAATTGGATATGTAATCATTCAGATTATGAGGTATTATAGATTTTTATTTATTTATTTTATTATTATGGCAAATTTCTTTATAACTCTTTATTTAACTTGTTAATTCTTAATAATATTAATACATAGGGTAGATATTCATTTAGAAACCAACCCACGGCATGTCTTTGGAATTTGCTAAAATTGAGTCATACTTTTCAAGAATTAATTGGAGCTGGAGATGAAGTAGATAAGCAATGGTTCTTGGATGCAAATTATCCTAATGGAAATGACGATGATGCTCCTTCAAAGAAAGATGAAATCCTTCGGAACGGTAAAGAAATAATTGATTTGGTATTGGGAGAATTTCAAGAAATTTTCTTAGAAGAATATGAAAAAATAATGATGAAAGTAAGTAAATTTGTTTTGTTAAACTTTAATTTATTAAGCATTTTGAATTTACATTGAACTTTTTTAATTTAATTAGAAATTAGGATTTCAAACGTTGCAACAAACAGATTTAGAAATTATCATTACACCACTTCTAAATCTTCTTGCTGCCCATATAGTCGATTATCATCATTTTTTCCGTTCGTTATGTTCATTCTCAACAACGTCATCAAATTCACCGTCAATCTTTATTAAAGATCTTTTAACAAGATCAGTTAATTTAGAAAAGGCATTATCAGATTTCAATTCATGGTTTGAAATTTATAAACAGAGACTATTATCCGAAGATTCAAATGATATTAATAGATCAATTAAAATGAAACAAATTAATCCTAAATTTGTATTAAGAAATTGGGTTGCTGAAGAAGTAATTGAAAGTGTTGAAAGAGGAGATAGTGAAGTATTAAAAAGAGTATTACAAATGTGCGAAAATCCTTTTAAAGAATGGGGAGTAGATCCTAGTGAATTTCAACAAGAAGCAGCAAGATTTTGTGGCGATGTTCCAGCCGTAAGTTTTACTAATTGTCTTAAGAGATATTTTTTTTTTATAAAATTGAGACTAACTTGGTATGATAATTTTTTTTTTTTTTAATAGTGGGGTTTGGGAATTCAATGTTCTTGTAGCTCATAAAAATGTTATTAATTTAAATTAAGCTTACATTGCAATTGATTATATTTAATAAAAAGTATTGTCATAGTAACAATAATTATAATAAAATATGTAAGAAATAGAGAATATTAATATATATATATATATATATATATATTTATATTTTTTTAAAAAAAAAAAATAAATAAAATAAATTACAAAAAAAATTTTTTTCTTAAGGTTTTTTTTTTCCTTTAAAATAAAAAAATTAAATAAAATAAAAATTAAAATAATAATAAAAATAATAATATATATAATACACCATTTTTTAGACCAAAATATTAAATCTATCAAAAATACAAATAAAGGCTATGCCAAATGTTTTTATAGTTTTAACAGATTACTTCCAATTTCATAGCCTTAAAATTTTTCAGAAATAAAGGCTTGCAATATTTGTTCATTCTCAAGTGAAACATCACATAGTCTTGTTTTATCTTCAAATATACGACCTAAGAGGAAAAATCTAACATGATATTTTTTGATCTCCAAATTTTGATTCGTACATAATTTTGCTCTTAAAGTAGCAATAGTATCCAATTTTGGATTATAATTAAGTTTAACATCTTTTGCATTTGATGATAATCTTATTGTAATAATATGTTCTGACCCCGTAAGTTCTTCATCAAGTAATTTTGAATCAAGATCTTCCCGTTCTGAAGAACCTTCAGCATTATAGTCTATAAGATTTGTTGGCTCAACGATACAATATAATGGTATAACATATTTATTCCCAAGTTCATCATAACAACCATCGGCTAAATTTCCTGTTGGAATCGTAACATTTGCAGAATCAATAATAGCTTGAGATAAAACCAAATCTTCAGATTCACACGCGCACCGGAGAGCTTGCCAAATTTCCAAACGACCCTGAAAAATTATTAATATTTTGTTTAAATGAATCAAAAGTCGTTCGAAATTAAAGGTATAAGTTTTCACGGTCTTACTTCGTAACTAGGTGCTGTATCCCAAAACGCGTCGCGTTGTTGCTTTAAATTAAAGATCGTTACTGGAGATTCTGATGTCCATGTCATACCTTTTTTAGTAAATGGTTTATTACCTATAATTTAAATGAATATCAGTCACAAGTATTCATAAACATTGAATTGTTTCACTGTTGTCTTTTACCTCCTCGGGGAACATGGTTTTCATCAGACCCTTCATGCCCAAAAGAATCATCGTCATTTCTCGAGTAACAACAACCCATTGCTTCCTTTTTTTTTTGTTTCTTTTATTGCTTTTAGAAGTTTAATGAAGTAGAAAATTTGAAATATAATTATCTATTACAGATATAAAGATAGATATATATATGATTAAAAAAATCGCGTAAAAATATATTCTTGACGCATTTCAAATAAAACAAATTAAATCTGATGTACTGAGAAATAGAAAAACATCATTAATTATTTAGAAAGAACTGTATATGATCCGTAATTAGAAATATTATTAAAAGTGAAAGTACGAGTATCATTTGATATCAGCGAAATAAATTTTAATTTAAATGGTTGAATGTATGCGTGAAAATCTATGGATGCCAATGATTATGTTTAAACGATCTGGATGAGATCAGTTCAACATATGGGAAATTCTAAATTTGGTTGTCATTTTATTTATATGTTTTAAACAATTTCGTTAATTATATCCGTTTATATATTAGAATTACCATTAATTAATTTTTAAGAAATTAAACTTTTATGATAAACAATTACACAAATTACGCATTAATATTATAAAATCAAAAAGGGGTATTAATTTTATATCTTTTTGTTAAGATAATAGAAATTCAAAATCAGGTTAAATAATTAAATTAAGTTAAAATAAGATTAAATAGGATTAAATATATAAGTAAAAAATCTTTAAATTATTATAACTCAATTAATATTAATCAATTTTTTGATTTACTTTTATTTAAATAAGTAATTAATATAATCTTTTTAAAATTTATTTATATACAATTTGCAAAAAAATATTTATATATATTAAAAAGACAAAGTAAATTGTTTAAGCATTTTATAAAAATTATTATAAAAATAATATACTATATTATTTAGAGAAATTTTTTTTTAAATAAAATATTATATTAATTAAAATTAGAATATTAATAATTTGAACTGTATATAAAATAAATAGCAAAAAAATTTCAAATAAAAATTTACTAATCTATATTTAAATTTTATTTAAATATTTATTTTAAATATTTATTATTATTAAAAAATATCAGTTAAAAATAAGTAAATCTAAAAATTTATTAAGTATTCTTTATATTTACTTTATATATATACTGTTTTACACTAAATTACTAGATTTTTGTCATGTAGGACTTTTGCAATAGAAAAAGGAAAAATAGCTAGAAAAAATAAAAATTAAATTAATGCTAAATCTGAATATATTTTAATCTAAAAATCATATTTGACATATAAAGTAAAGTTAATTTTTTTTTAGCTATTTCCCCTTTTTCTATTATAAAAGTTCCATATGATTTAATAAATCAGTTATATAATTAATATTTTTGTCTTATTATAAATATAAAAAAAATATTTTGTTTTTCTTTTTTATTGTCAAAATGTAAGAAAATGAGTTGTTAAATATATAATATAAAGAATTATTAGTGTATATCTTAATGATATCAGATAAATAATTATTTTAGCTTAACTAAATATATCTTTTCTAATACAGTAAATAATATAATTAAAAGATACAATGAAACTGATTCTATAGAACTACAAAATATCCTAACTGTCTAAAAATACTTACTAAATAAGATAATTAATATTTTATAATACATTATCTATAATAATCAGTTTGTTTCTCTTAATAATATAATAAATAGTTTAAATTTCAAACTATAAATATCTGCCAAAACCTTCTCTAAATAATTTTATTATATTCTTTTATATATTTTTAATATAGTTTTAACAGTTTCAACTTTTATTAAATAAGAAAGATTTTATAATACCCTTTATTATAATTTTAATATAATTCATTTGAGTTTAGACTATTATTATTAATATATGATCCTATTAAATTATGACTATTAAAAAGATATTCAAGTAATGATTTTTTTAAGTTTATATAGTAAATTAATATTATTTATTTAATTAATTCAATAATATAACAATATGTTTATTAATAATAAAAAAATATAAAATAAATAAAAAATAAGAAATAAAAGAAAATAAAAAAATAAAGAAATTAAGAGTAAACTAAAATACAAAAATTAGATTAAATATTTCTAAAAAAAACTATTACAAAGATATATCAAAAATAAATTAATAGTTAAAACTAAAAGTTAAATTAAACTGACTACTTTATATAATTTTATTATTCTCTATTTATATTAAAATTATTACATAGATAGATATAACGAATATGTTAAATATATCTAATATATAAAATATGTTTAATATATTATATATATTTACTATATTAGTTATATCAGATTTATTAAATATATTATATATATTAGATATGTCTGATATATCTGACATTTCAATTTGCAATCTTCTGCATTATATATATTATATTATTAAAAAGTTTTATTCATTATCTATATTTCAAACTTAATATCATACTTTATTATAATACTATTAGAAAATACATTTATGATAAAGATTTAGGTAATTATACTATTTATAAAAAATCTCATTTAACTATAAAATAAAAAAAAACAGGTTTAAATAGTATAAAAAAAATGTAATTGAAAAGAGAAATGAAAGTAAATATTATATAGTCAAATAAGTTTAAATTTGCTCTTTTTAAGTTAAATAGTTATATAAAAATTTAAAAAGTTTCAAAGAAGCTTATAATTAAGATTATATTCAATCTATAGTTAAATTTAATAGAAAATTAATAATATTTAAGATTATTTTAATTTGACATAAAGTTAGATCTCTAGTTGTAGTATAAAAAAATATAAATTCTGATGATTATGTTAATATTCTTGCTAATTCTTTTATTTTTAAGTTGATAATTATTCTAGTTCTATAATTTAGCAAGATAAAGCATCTTATTATATATTTTAATATAGTGTTTAGTGAATATCAATATATAATATTTTAATTTTAAATTGAATAGTATTATAATTAATTTTTTAAATGTTTATAAATAATAAGTAATATAATAATTTTAAATAGTAAGTAAAAGGTTGATTTATAATTAATTTAAAAGTAATATCAATCAGTAAATTAATCATAACAAATAAGTATTACTTTAGTTAGCATTTAATATTATATAAATATATTATAAAAATTATAGTAAATTATTTAAAGAAATTCTTATTCAAATATAAGATGCACTGCTAAGCTAAAAAAAAACTTTCTCTATTTATATAAAATAAAATATATAAAGTTATCAATATAATAAAAAAAAAATACTAAATAAAATATATAAAATAAAATATATAAATAAAAATAAATAAGATAAAAATAATAAATAAGATAAATAAAATAGATAATTTAGATGATATTTATGATATATATGACTTCTTTTAGATTATTATCATCTTTTAAATCTCTATTATCAATATTTTTTTTGTGTAATAATAGTATAAAATTTAGATTTAAATTTGATTGAGAATTTGTAAAACTATTAAATTATTAGATTTGAAAAAAAAAAGCCTTTACTTAAATTAAAATAAAAGTTATTAATATGTAAAAGAAGAATGAAAACAATTAACTTAAAATATTATATCACTTAATTTTAAGCTTACTAATTATATTAAAACAATAATTTAAAGTTAAGAATAAGTATACTAAATAAAATAAATATAAATATAATATTTTATTTTAATAAAAATTTTGTCAATTTATTAAAAAAATTTTTTTTTACATAATTGTAAAAAAAAAAATTGAATTTTATATATAATTTCTATATATATTAAAAAATCTAGTAATTTAATATAAAGTAATATATTATAAATAATAAAATTTTTTATTTATATATAAGTATTTTACAGTAAAAATTTTATATATTTTAATTTTTAATAAATAATTTTTAATTAATAAAGTTAAAATAGTCAAAATAAGTTATTATATAAATCTTTAAAATTGATATATTTATTAATATATTTTGATTTTTATAAAAATATTATTATATAAATTCTCTTAATAAAGAAAATTTAATAAATATAAAATTATTAATTATTATATAGTTTTTGAAAATAAGCATCTTGTGATATGCTTCTTTTATAATAATTTATTATTTGTTATATAAAATTTATTATATTATTAGTTATATATATAGTCAATAATCAAAATTATGTAGATATTTTAATTTATCAAAATTAGATAGATTGTCATATAATTACACAATAAAAATAAATGTCATATTACTTATAATAATAAACAATTTCCCAAACTTTTTCTCTTTTAGTAAGTTTATGTTAAATATAAAAGTATTTAGTCTAGTCTTAAAATTTGTGATGCTATTACTTATAGTTATAAATGTAGATAGTCAAGTTATATTATAGCTAAACAGTTAAGGTGTAGTAAAACAGCTATTTATAGTATTCTTAAATATTTTTGTGAAACTTGTTCTTTAGCATCAACTCTATCACTATCTAGTATTAAAGAACTTAAAAAGTATATAAAGGATGCATGAAAAGGTATTTCTTTGAAATATTATAAAAAACTGATTAATAGTATATTATAGTAAATTGTAACAATTATTACTGCAAATAAAAATAGGATTAATTATTAAATTTTTTATAAATCAATAAATAAAAGATATATTTGAATTTATTTTATTAAAAATTTTTTTTATTATATTATGTGTATATAATTTTTTTGATTTTAAAATATTCGCATAATTTTGGTTATTAATTGTATACTAATAAATTCATATATATTATGTAATGTTTATTTTTAGAATTATATGATATTAATAATTAATTATTAAATTAAGTAAAATATATATCATATTTTTAAAATAAAAATCTTAATTATTTTATTATAAAAATATAAAATTAAAATTATTAATTATATTTTAAATCTTTTTATTAAACTAATTTAATAAATTAAATTTTATCATTATATATTATAATTATCAAAATCTAAATTTACAAATTTATGACATTTTATGAGTTCAATAACTTTAACAAAAGCTAAACTAATTTATGTATTTTTATCACTCACTATTAAAAGAATTTGTTTATAAATTAATTTTTATTATTTAAGAATGATCATTAATTTTCTTCATTATTATTCTTGT